TTACAGCATTAGTGGAGAAGGGAAGAGTGACTGATATCAGCTACCTGGACCTGTGCACAGCATTTGGTACTATCATGAACAACACCCTTGCCTCTAAAATGGAGATACATGGATCTGCCAAGTGGACCATTCAATAGATAAGGAATAGGTTTGATGGTCGCACTCAAATTGTCAATGGCTTGATGTAAAGGGAAGACCAATGATGAGTGGATTTTATTAGATGTGGACTTGTGTTTCTACCGGTGGTTTAGTCCCACCTTTTTTTTTTTTTTTTTTATATATAAAAGCAAATAAATTCTCTCCTTTAGAAAATTCTGACAATCTTTACATGAAATTATTAGCTGAAATAAGAAAAATGAGGCTGTGGGACCAAATCTGGATCTTAGATTTTTTTCCCTGTACTAGATAATTTCAGAAGACCATATCCAAGGATACTGAATTTTTATTATATTGTGGGATTAACCTACAAATAAAACCTTTAACAATCTTTAATGTTTACATGCTTCTTTTGATGAAAATCATATTTTGAATAAGGTGTTAGAATAGGCATTCTAGCAATCTTTTGATTGACACATCCCTTGTAGCTCTGTAGAGACCTTGGTATTATGACCAGCCCTCTTTTCCCTTCCTCTTTTGGATTTATTCCACTGAAGGAAGCCCATATATACTTCCCCAGAGGTAATGTTGGTGATACTTTCTCCTTAAGACTCTATCTTAATATTTGACTGCAATCTGACTATCAAGGACATTGCTGATTGTGAGCTCATTAGAAGCAGAAATAAACTGTCCCAAAGAGTTTCTGTCTGCAGTGACTCGTGCAATGCTGCTAGAAGGGCTTTTATCACCCCAAACTAAATACTGGACAAGAAGTAAACCTCGTACAGTATGATGTACATCATTCATAATGTGTATCATAATGTGTAAATTACTATCAGAAGTACTTCACAAACCCTCATCCACAGAAAGTTTTATGGTACATCTTCTATTTTCCATCACAACTATTAGGAGTATGAATCTTCCAGTGAAAATTAAGTTTATCACAAAGATCTGTGTGCAAACTAATTTGAACAGGCATTTGCTAAAAAGTAGGCCAGAATGGAAGAAAGATTACTTCTGGCAAAAAAGGAACAAATTAAATTATAAGAGGCTTAATACATTTATTTGAAATTTAATTGCATAACCTAATGTCAAGGCTATTACATAGTGTGCACTGTTTCCATCCAAATTTAAGTCAGTAAAGCACAAGCTCGGTTTGCGGTTACTTTATTATAAATCCAACAGCTTTTTTCTTTTTTTTTTTTTTTAATTCTGACCATAGTCTTTGCCCAAGCCACAACATTAATATAAAATCACATTTCAAAATCACTTTGAGATCACTCCATGGCAATGAATTCTGTTAAGACCAGAAGCCTCTCTGGTATGACTAACTTCTACTGCAAGTAAAAGGCAAAAAGAAAAACAAAAGCTGAGACGGTGTTGATGTGATGCCAGTGTGCTCAGTAAACAGCAAAATGATTAAAAAGAGCATCTGAGTGTATTCACGCTGTTCTGCATTGTGTCCATCAAACTTGCAGGTTTTGTTTTCTATTCAAAACAGAGACATATCAGCAGTAAAGGTTACTGTAGCATTCTCATTATTGCACCCCTATGGAATATGTGCTCTTTTACCATGTATTATAACCTGTGCCTATACTGAGAGCACACTTAAAAGCATTCAGGCCATGTCTAAACACTCTTTACACTCATCTAAATTGAGTTGCTCTTGTCTGAATTATTTGGCCTCACTTCAGGTGTTTGGTTTGTTTGGGGTTTTTTTGTCTGTTTTCAGATGTCCAAGTGTCTGAGAAACACTGAATCAGAAAGGACATTCGTGGTGGCTCTTGCTGGGGTTTGTACTTTTGAATGCTTGTAATACGGGCGGGCTCCAGCAGCAGGGGGATGGACTGGCCGTGGACTGGTCCCTGGCCGTCCGGCTGCTCCTCACCGTCCTGGCCCTCGCCCTCGCCTCCGCTGCGTGAGGCGGGGGAGCCGAGGGGGGCGGCCCCGGGAGCCGGCGGCTGCTGAAGCGGCCCGGGAGAGCGGCCCCGGGACCAAGGGGAGCGGGCCGGAGGCCGCGGGACGGCTGCCGGTGGAGGGGTCGGGGCGGTCGAGGAGCGGAGGAGGGGCTGCCGAGCCGAGCCCCGGGCGAGCCAGCCCGCGACGGCGAGAGCATTCCCGGAAGCCGCCCGCCGGCCCCAGGAGGAGCAGGAGACCCCGCAGCATTTCCCAGCAAGGCAGAGAGGAAGAGCTGGACTCAGGAAAAGGAAGCTGGTGGTGGGAGAGCCGGCAAGCACAGCAGCTACACCAGCCCCAGTGACAAGTGGTGGTACAGAGCATCGTTTGAGAGTTCTGCAGGTTTTGGATGGCCTTTGGGTACCCTTGGGACCTGCCTGCTGATTGTGATGGTGTTCACTATGTTGGCACACATGCAGAGTGTGTTTTACCCACCACCATTGTGTCTGATCCCAAAATTTAAGCAGAGTCGGGTTTGGGTCTTTCTGGGGTTAGACAACAATATGGGAGGACCAAGAGGTTTTCCCCAAGGCTGGACAGCCATGAGTGGCAGGGCGTGTGGGACAGTATGGGCAAGTATCTAGTCCACTGGGCCCCTCCAGTGCTTTGGAAACATTGGAAATGGAAGGACAACGAATTATTTTGAACCTGATGGGACCATGACTCTTTAGGCCAACAGAGCAGAGATGCAACATAGAGATGGACTCATGATCAAGGGGTGGACCTAACAATGGACACTATTGCCCAGGTTATTCATGTGTGTGAACACGCACACAGCCTCTCCTGCTCTGAAAGACTGTTACAAGAGATGGAGCCTGGCATCATGGACCAGATGGACTCAGCAGCTTTATAGGGACTGGTCCATGCACTACGATGAGAGTGCACTTAGATAAGAGTGATGGTATATTGAAAATGTGGGATCTGAGCATGACGTGAATGGTATGGAATAAGGGGTGGATAATGTCCTGGGTTTAGCAGTGGCAGTCATTTTTCTCTTTCTTGGTAGCTGGTGCAGGGCTGTGTTTTGACTTTCAGCTGGGAACAGAGCTGAAAAACAATGATGTTTTGGTTTGGCCAAGGACTTTGTGGGCCTCATGCTCTGCCAGGGAGGAGGGGAGCCGGGAGGAAGCAGAGACAGGACACCTGACCCAAACTGACCAAAGAGGTATTCCATACCACAGCACGTCATGCCCAGGATGTAACTGGGAGTTAGCCGGAAGGGCGGGTGGACTGCAGGGTTGGAGGAGGTATGGGTCGGTGCTTGGTCGGGCTGGGGGGGGCAAGTTATCGGTCACCTGGTGATGGGGTGTTGTATTCTCTTCCCTTGTTATTTCCTTTATCATTACTATTATTGGTGGTAGCAGTAGTGATTTGTGTTATACCTTAGTTACTAAACTGTTCTTATCTCAACCCGTGGGAGTTGCATTTCTTTTTGATTCTCCTCTCCGTTCCCCCAGGAGTAGGGGGAGGGCAAGAAGGGGGGGAGTGGGTAACAAGCTGTCTGGCTGTGGGTTAAACCACGACACTGGGATAGATTTTATTTTCTTCATAGCAGCTGGTATGGGGCTGTGTTTTGTATCTGTACTAGAAGCAGTGCTAATAACACAGGGATGTTTAAGCTATTGCTGAGCAGTGCTTACACAGAGTCAAGGATTTTCCTGCTCCTCACACCAGCCACCAGTAAGGAGTTTGGGGGTGCACAAGGAACTGGGAGGGCACACAGCCAGGGCAGCTAACCCCAACTAACCCCAGGGATATTCCACACCATATGGTGCCATGCTCAGAATATAAAGCTGGGGAAGAAGAAGTAAAGGACGGTGGTGTTTCTCTTCCCAAGTAACCATTACATGTGATGGAGCCCTGCTCTCCTGTAGATGGCTTGACAACTGTCTGCCCATGGGAAGTGGTGAATGACTTCTTTATTTTGCTTTGCCTGTGTTCAGCTTTCGCTTTACCTCTTAAACTGTTTTTATCTCAACCCGTTAAGTCTTCCCGCTTTTACTCTTCCAGTTCTCTCTCCATCCCACCGGGGGGTGGGGGGGAGTGAGCTGTGTAGGGCTCAGCTGCCAGCTAGGGTTAAACCACAACAATGTTATACAAAACTATTGTGCATTTAACTGTGCACCACTATGATTCTAGTGGATGTGCAAACACAACCTAGGTTTGTAGCAGTATCATGTAAAAAGCACCACCTGTTTATATTTTCTGAAGATACAGGTAATGAAGACATAATAAATGACTCTGACATATCAGGGAACTGTAGTCTAAAATTAACAGGCTTATAATTATGCATCACAATATTAATTTGGGATGCTCAGTAATAAAGAATGCTGGACATTTTACAGTCGTGTCATTTTTCCTCAGTAAAGTCTGAAATGACTGAAGAAGATAGTTCAGTGTTTTACTGGCTTAGGGCCTCTTTTAGCAGTACTAGAATATCATAGAGATGCAGTTATTAACGTATAAAGATGGATTCTAAAAAAATAGCCTCTGATTCCCAATATAGTCATATAGTCCTGTAGATAACCAAATCCTTCTGTATTAAGCTTTTTTCCTATTTTTTCTACCATATAAATAAAAAACAACTTGTAAAAATCTTTTCTATGATTCTGTGTTTCAGTGCTTTTAACTGATATTAACCATTACTCATGTCCTTGTAATCAATCCTTGTATGTCAAAAACAGATGTCTTCTATATACCTCAGATCTACGTCCCTCTCTCTGTGAAGCTGTTTAAACCACAAAACTCCCCTATGACCTTCTGAATTTAAAAGCTCACTTTAGTCTCTAGACACCCAGACTTTGATTCTGTTTAAAACCAAATCTCCATTCATAGTCAATGACTCCTTCTGTGGCGAGTATATATAAGCAGCATGTTTGTAAGGCTATATTTAACATTTCAAAAAAGAAAAATACAAGAAGGTTAAAAGCTGAAAAACTCAAACTTACCCCAAACTCATCCCTCCACTGATGTGATGCTTGGTACTTTTCTGCTTCTTTAGCGAGGCGCTGGAGACGAAAGAGAGAAAGGGCGTAAATTTTAGTATGTATTGATTCTTCACTTAGCAAAATTTTCTTTTTGGGTGTTTTTTTTTTCCATATATAATTTCTATAAATCTATGTTTTTTTTTTAATTCACTTTGAAATTATATATTTTTGAGTAAAGATGCACCATCTTATTTCAAAAATGTTATTTTTTGTTGGAGAGCAACAGGCATCCTCTTAGAAGGCATTTTTCCTATTTAAATAATTGAAATCCAGTTTGTCCTCAGCCCCATGGTAGGCAAAGCACAGTGCACAAGAATGATCCAATTATGCTCTTTCAAATCAATCTCTTGTACAGAGACATCCATTGGGCTGGTGACATGTCTTTTCAAAAAGCTGTTTGTCCACACTTGTGAGAAGTTTACTTAATTTCTGCATGCAGAAGTTGCCATGTCCTGCATGTTCTCCAACTGAACTGCTCACAGCATTCCCCATGCCAGAGCCCTGGAAGCAAGCACCTATCCAAAAAGTATCCATCTCCCTCTGCAGAAGTAGCTACCTGGTATGAATGCAGTTCATGCAGACTCAAGGCATCTCCTAATTTTTTAGTGACTTACTTGGTTTTATTACTAAGCTATTCTATAACCCAACAAAAGAATTAGCAAGTGTTTCTGGGGAGTCATGGTCACTTTCCAACAGAAATAGCCTGATAATATCCACCAGATAGCTAGGGATAAAAATGCTTTACTGTGTAACAATAAGTGCACAGTGAGCCTTATGATCCTCTTAACATTCAGAGCAACTCCTACACAAAATGAATTGGTCTAAGTCACATTTTCAGTTGAGTCAACTGTCAGCTCTTGCTAACAACTAACAGGAGTAGACCAGAAAGTTCACAGAAGCTGGAATGGCAGAGATGGTGCTGTCAGAACCTCACCTCGGCCTCCCACCTCTACGTCAGACTGGGGTCAAAACCACCTAGATCATGAAGCACACTCAAGATGCTTGTGCCCTCTTTGGTGACACAAGGAGAGACCAGTTTTTTTCTCTCAAAGAAATCATGCCTGCCTACATCTGAGAGATGCAAATGTCAGGTCTTGCCTTCCCTGTTTTGATGGAAGAGTCTCTGGAGAACGTCAACAGAGGAGCACCACAACAGCAAGCTGACACCTGACTCATCCCATTCTCCCTGTCATTACAACGAGGGTTTAATCAGGTAGCATCTCTCTAACACTGTGTCCCACGGCAGTTCCCTACAGGTTTCTCTAGCTAATACTAAAATGTTGAGATTCATATTTGTATATGTAAGAATATGAGCATAAATGGTTCTAAAACAAACATGCAAACCAGTATTTCCCCATATTAGGTTTTAATAACTTTTTACTCCATGTTTCTGTATTTGTGCTGTGAAGATGAAAGCTAAGAGATGTTTTCAGTCCTGGTATCAAGCTCTATTTAACATCACCTTAAGTGGAGAAAGAAGAAAGCTAACACGTAACATAAACATTCTGGCTTACTTCAAGGTAAGTACTTCACTTACTTCAAGGTACTTACTTCATCCTTATAGGCCCCCTTCAGATACTGGAAGGCTGCTGCATGGAGACCTCATAGCAGCCTTCCAGTATCTGAAGGGGGCCTATAAGAACGCTGAGGAGGGACTCTTCGCTAGGGACTGTAGTGATAGGACAAGGGGTAACGGGTTAAAACTTAAACAGGGAAAGTTTAGATTGGATATAAGAAGGAAGTTCTTTACTGTGAGGGTGGTGAGGCACTTGGAACTAGATGATCTTAAGGTCCTTTCCAACCCTAACCATTCTATGATTCTGTGATTCAAAGGTATTTTTAAAAAGCCCTGCAGTCGGCTGGAGAGCAAGGATTCTCAGATGAAGGCAATGAAATTCAGATTACTTTGAATTGAGAAACCATGACCAGGAAAAGAGGACCGCAAAAGCTAACAAGGTGCATCTATTCTTATGCTTTTCAAGGATGCCCGACAGTTGTGAGATGCCTCTTGTAAGTAAGAGATCACAGGAGCTGATGTGATTCAAACCACAGGTTCAGGCACTGTGGCTGACACAGTAGCATATCAGATTAAAAATGCTTGAATACACCATGATTAAACAAGCATCTGCTTAATAAATGTTCCTAGATTCAAAAATTATTTCTACCTCTTTTTAAAAAACAAAACAACACAACTTTTTTAAATGGGTAAGAACTGCTCTCTCCCTTGCTGCTTTCTCAATAGTGTGCAGGGTGCCCACAAGTACTTTTAACCAAATTTTGAACGATGTCAAGAGTTACCTTCCACTAGATTTCCTTAAACCATTCAATGAGAATAGTCAGCTTTAAAGCAAAACAGTTAAGGGGGAAGATGGATAAAATGCAAGTGTTATTTAGTCCATCAGCCTATGAATGTTTCTTTAATTTTTAAAGGGATTACAAAAGAGATCACACACTCACATAATAAATAAACAAAATAAAAATAAATAAATAAATGAATGAATGAATGAATGAATGAATAAATAAATAATAGCTAAAAACCCCAAAGCCCAGCTGCCTGTCAACCTAAAAACTGTCCATTTTGAAGGTCTTGCCCCAGGTTCCAGGTCATCTGGAACAATGGCCGCTGATGTAGCACAGACTGCAAGAAAGAGACCTGAAGAATCTTCATCTGACCTGTGAAGATCAGCACCCTAGAAGGCCTATTCATCTTTCAACCTTCATTTTTGTGCATGTTGTATCTTTATCTCCTCCTAACCAGCACAGAATTCTGTCAGCTGATGGCACAATTACAATTATATTCAGTACAATGAAATAAATCTTCTTTTTGTGCTTTTCACTCTAAGTATTTTATCTTGAAAATAATATTTCAGTACCCCTTGATATATCAAGCTGTTATAGAATGTGTAAGCTTAGAGTTATTAGACATCAATACCCTTACAAAGCTTTCTAAAATACCAAAGCCATGGATTTTTTTTAAGTTATTTTAGGAAGACAAATACCCAGGGAGAACATATCAATATCAAGTTTAAATACCACAATGTAGACACATACAATGATCTTCAAGTCCTGATTTTAAAATACAAACCAAACAGTCAGTCCTGTTCTTGCCTGAACAGTGTAAAAGCCACAAAGAATATCATAAAAGTAGCTTTGAAAACAGTTTTCATATATGTATCTGCAATATAAATATTGTTCTTCTGTAGATTATTATGAATTGCACATAAAATATGGGAGAGAAATATGAGGAAAAGATTTTGAAAGAGTGGGATAACATGTCTATGGTGACAATAGAAGACTGGTACTGTGATTTCACTACAGCTTTAATACAGACCAACAAAATTTTAAAGAAAAGAAATGCATTTGCACTTCTGTAAGCAATTTTTTATTTTCCTTTACAAGTATTCTGATCACTAACACTGTAGCACATGAGTTTACAAGAGAAGTCATATTTCCCTACCTCAAATAAGAAATTGTTTCCTATGCATTGCTGTATTCCATTATGTAAATACTACCATCCTCAGTATAAATGTAACCAGAATTTTAATACTTACACAGATTTTAAAGGATGGTAACCAACAGTAGGGTTTTGGTTTGTGCTTATCCCTAACCCTACTGAACACAGACTATTTCAATATTACGGAATTTCCATATGCATATGGTACGCATGTGGTCCTGCAAGGAGCAGGAAGCTGGACTTAGTGATCCTTATGGATCCCTTCCAACTTCAGATATTCGATGATTCTAAGATCTGCAGTGTGGTTTTATTTCATGTATTGACACTGCAGTGTTACAGCCTGTCTCCTACTCCAGCATCTGCTGTGCCACATGATGGCAATCTGATCTGAAGCCTGTTAATGAGGAAATCTGAAGCATATAAAGTACCAAACAAAAAGTGTGCTTATAATTGCTCTCCTGTATGCAACATAGGCCTCATGTGATATATTCCCCAGTTACTCTTTGGAGCCAGTTTCACTCTTGTCATATGAGGAAGGAGAGGAGTCATAATGAAAAAGAGTATGTTAGAGGCCTACTGACACTGTGAAATTTATGAAAACACTCTTCCTACAGATTACTGGCCTAAAATTACACACAATCTAAGACAATCAGAAATCGGCTTTTTAAAAACAAAAAAAAGCTGATGTTATTGTACTCTGGACCACAATTCAAAATAACACCTCAAAGATTGTTTTACACTCCTAACCATTACCAATAATATAAATGGATAGATTTGGGTTTTTTTTTTCCTAATTCAGCTGTAAATTACAAAATGCAACTTAAGTTAAAAAATAAACAGAAAAATTCATATTTTCTGTGTTTGTTTAACACATTTCAAGCCATTTCTGCTTTATTCACATGAACAGTGATTTTATTTCAGACTTCATCCTTTTTTTTTAAGAAGATGACCTCATTTCCAACACAAGGCTGTCATGTTTGTGTCGTGGTTTAAGTCAAGTCAGTAACTCAGAACCACGTAGTCGCTTGCTCACTCCCCCCTCTTCCTCCCCACCATTCCCGGAGGGATGGGGAGGAGAATCAAAAGAATGTAACTCCCATGGGTTGAGATAAGAACAGTCCAGTAACTAAGGTGTAACACAAATCACTGCTGCTACCACGAATAATAATAATGATAAAGGAAATAACAAGGGAAGAGAATACAACCGCTCACCACCTGCCGATCGATACTCAGCCCGACCGAGCTCTGCTCTAGCCCTTCCGGGTAACTGACCCCAGTTTTAAATCCTGGGCATGACATGCTGTGGTATGGAATACCTCTTTGGTCAGTTTGGGTCAGGTGTCCTGTCTCTGCTTCCTCCCGGCTTCCCCTCCTCCCTGGCAGAGCATGAGACTCAGAAAGTCCTTGGTCAGAGTAAACATTACTGAGCAACAACTAAAAACATCGGTATTATCAGCGTTGTTCCCAGGCTGAAAGTCAAAAATACAGCACTGCACCAGCTACTAAGAAGGAGAAAAATGACTTCTAATGCTGAACCCAGGACAGTATATTATAAAGAAATGAAAAA